TTTTTGTTACTTCTGAGGATCTGTTGACATCTGAAAAACACTTCTCTTATACTATAACTTCAGCTGTTACATGACTTCATTTTTAAAAAAAAAAAAACTATCAAGCATTTCCTCAGCACCTACTTTTTTTTTTAAATTAATTTTGTATAGCTTGACCTCTTGTTTTAACATTTGGAAAAAATATTTTCCAAGTACCCTGTATATATGGGTCTCTGAGCAAATATAACTCTAGTCTTTCATTGCTAATTTCTGCTTCATCTTACATCTTTCACGTATTTGATAACCTGTGCAGGTTCCAATGAAAGAGGCTATGGATAAGTGGTACATAGGAGGTCATTCTAAGGTGAAGTGTCTATTGGGCAGAGAGCTGCAGGGAAAACATTGCTTCATGTGATTACTCAAATTGTTTAACTACTTGTAGCTGTCAGGCTTGGAGCTGTTCACCTGAGACCTTGTTGCTGCAATTGGCTCTGGAATTAACCACAAAACTATCAGATGAAAACCACATTTAGATAAGCCAGTAATGGCAAGAAAATGACACCATTCTCAGGTTGATGGATGTAGGAGAGCTCTTCTAGTATTTGTAGAAGGCATATAATGATCTGTGACCACAATCTGTATTCCATGCAATTGGCATTTACTGAGGCTGAGAACGTCTTGACTGGCCAGGAACAATGTATCAGTGGAGTTGGGGGGTTGATTGCTGAGTTCTTGAGAAGATCGCAGTTGATTTAGGAGACTTAATCAACACTACATTTAAAGGTCAAAATGTGGCACCAAAGATCTAAAAATGGCTGAACTGTTTCTAAATTCAATAACTCAATGGGCCTAGTCAATTTCCATAAAATTATAGGGCCAAAAACTCAGGCACTTCTTCTCTCAGTGGATTTCTCAAATGCTAGATCAAAACAGCTGCCAATTGTCCATTCTCACTCATCCAATGCCTATAAAGTAAAATAGTTGTTGTAATAAGAAAGGGCTTTATAATGGCCTTTTCCCTCAAGTTCAATATGAGATGCACTCTAGACTTTTTTATGATAAATCTCCTACTAGTGAAAAATTGCCTTACATAAAGAACTTACTGGTTGTTCTTTAGTTCTTTGTCATTGATATTAATAGCTAAAGACCATCATCTCACATGACATTGCTACTGAAATTTCCAGCAGTGGGGTCAGGGATAATCTTTTGATCACTGTGTTCAATAGCACCCATAACCTTCCTTTTGAGACACTGAATTACAATATTACATTTATCTGATGAAAATCAAATTGAAGAACATTGGCTGGCCTGTATAGAAAAACTTAGATTTTTTTTATTTCAGAGGCAATCAGCATTACTTTTAAGCAACCCATTATCTGCTCTTTATTTTTCTTCTGCCTCTATTTCCCCTGCTAGATGCAATTCAAAGTTTACCCTTTAGAAAACTGCTGCTGTAAAGTTAAAAGGACTGTACATTCAAAAGTAAAAGAGTAATGGGGCCAAGCATGATGGCTCATGCCTGTAATGCCAGCACTTCGAGAGGCCAAGGTGGCTGGATAGCTTGAGCTCAGGAGTTCAAGACCAGCTTGGGCAACATAGCGAAACCTTGTTTCTATGAAAAATACAAAAATTAGCTTGGTGTGGTGGCAAGCACCTGTAGTCCCAGCTACTCAAGAGGCTGAGGCAGGAGGATCCCTTGAACCCAGGAGGTCAAGGCTGCACGCCAGCCTGGGAAACAAAGCAAGACACTGTCTCAAAAAAAAAAAAAAAAAAAAAATGTAGAAGAGAAGTAAGTATGTGTTCTACCAGGGCCAGACACAAAATTTGTTTATAGTGAAGAAAGTCTTAAAAGCTGCAATAAGCAAATACTTCTAGATTTTAAATAATCAGAAAAGCATCTCTAAAAAGTCATTGCTGGTTATAGATGTAAATGTCTGGCACAGTTAAAAAGCAGAAAAATTACTTTCTCCAACATTAAACATGGATTCCATTGGAATGAATTATGTTTATTCTACTTGTTAAAAGAAAACTTGGAGTTTGTTTGGCTTTGTGAAATAGACCTATAACTTGCTTCTGGGTTTGCATGAGATCTCATTCAGAGACATCGTGGGCACTTACTATGTGTAGTGCTGAAACGTGTAATATGTGATGAGATAAGATGCTTAGCAGTGAAACCTCACCATTGAAGCTTTTAGCACTTCTTCAAACAAGGCACATGAAAAATATCAAGGAACTTTAGCACAGAGTTTGAAACAACTTGTTTTTCTAGAAAAATTCACAACCGTACATTATTTACCAATATCTTACCCAGAGAACAGCCAGAGGGAAACTCCCCAAGGATTTGGCATTGAAGTGTTTTTATCTCATATGAAAATGCAGTTTGCTGGTGAATGTTGCATGTGGATTTTGTTTTGTTTGGTTTTGTTTTGTTTTTGCAGTTGTTGTAATGGATAGCATCAAAGTTTGTAATCACTCATTTCAATTACTGCATGAATCTTTACATTTGTGATACTGGTTTCATCAAAGTCATATTGAATTTGAGTAAAATGAGAGAAATTGCATCCCACAAATGTATATTTGTCACACAAATAGAAACTGCTTCAGGAAAATCCTGTACCTCTCTCAGCAGTCAGCAATCCTATCTTCTATTCACATGCAGCAAACAAAGAGTTAGAAGATATGCAATTAACTTTTAAAAATCTGAGGGATGAATTTAATGGGCCATGGAGAAGAAATTTGGGTATGGCAAAGAATCTTTTCTCTCTCACTGTTTTAAGTTCTGAAAACAGAGCACCTCATATTGCAGTGATTAAAGATTGATTTTAATAATCCTAAAAACCAGGCTTTGGAGCTCAATAAATTCTTCCTTTCAAAAGTACAGATTTTGGGGTTACCAATGTGGCTCCGTTACCCAGGCTTTACCGCATTTTATAGGAACATAAAACTGCTGGCAGATGACATCACCAAGCAGATGCAATATGACAAGTGGATGCAAGGTCGTACTGTGGGAAAGTCAGGGATTTCAGGGAGATGATACCTTACAAGTACAGTGTCTCAACTAAACTCAACAGCAAAAAGCCTGGTGCCTTACCAGTGTACCTCCTGTAAACTTTCAGAGCCCATATATGTGTATACATATTAACAATAAGTAATAAATAATGTTAAATAATAATAGCAACAAATGCTTATACAATGTAGTGCTTATTATTTAGGCCCTATGTACTTTTAAAAATATATGTGCATATTTGTTTTTATGGTAGTGAAATGTACTAATACAAAATTTAATATTTTAACTATTTTTAAGTATATAGTTCAGTGACATTAAATACATTCACATTGTTTTGGAATCATCACTACCATCCATCTCCAGAACTTTTTCATCTTCCCTAACTGAAACTCTGTATCCACAAAACAACTCCCCATTCCCCTCTCTCCCAGCACCCCCTAGTCTAGACACAGACACAGACATTTCTATGTCTATGAATTTGACTATTCTAGGTACCTCAGTAAGTGGAATCATGCAATATTTGTTCTTTTGTGTCTGACTTATTTCACTTAGTGTCATGTCTTTAAGTTTCATTCATGTTGAACCTGCATCTAAATTTTCTTCCTTTTTAAGGCTGAATAGTATTCCATTGTATGTATATATCACATTTTGTTTACATATTCATCCACTCATGGACATTTGGGTTATTTCCACTTTATGTGCTTTTTATATATCAACTCTTTTACTGCTCACAAAGATCCATTGATTCATTCATTGTTGTAGTATCTTTATTATCTCCATTTTATGATAAGAAAACGGAAGCATATGAGATTGTGTATGTGCCCAAGTTTATAGAGCTAGGAAGCTCTGAAGCCAGTATTGCATCCCAGGCTGAGTAGATCCACAGTTCCTGCTCCTAATCACTGTGCTATCTCATCTCCCTTTCAAATGATTCAGGAAGCTAAGTATAGCATGCACCAGTTGGAAAACCATTTGTGTAACATCGTAAGGCCAAGTTTCTGACTTAATTTGTACAGGTTTTAAAAGTTCAAAGGAGTAGTCAGTTTAACAACCGAACCCCATAGCAACTGATTTATAAAGGATCCCATTGCTACAAAATAAAAATTAGTGCTCTGCTCTGGCACTAGCTCTGGGTGGGCTAAGTTCATTTTGCTAATCTTCCTATTCGATATGTGTGTGCGTGTGTGTGTGTGTGCAGTAGCATGGTTATAATGTTATCCCCACTTTGTAAAAAGGGAAATTGGAACATAGGAAGGTGGTAAGTTACTTGTTCAAGGACTCATAATAAAAAATAGAATCTGTACGCAAACTCAGATAATCTGTAACTCCAGAGCCTGTTCTCTTAACTATAGCACAAATTTTATCTTTTTCTTGAATGTGAAGCACAGCGTTGAGACCTGTACATAGCCACAAGTATTCTTACAGTGTATGGAAATTTTCCTAGAAAGCCTGTAAATAACCAGCAAGTCTATTTGTCAAGAGGCAATCCCTGCATTACTAAAGTTATTTGTATAGTTATTCCAATGAACAAATCTAAAACTAGGAATGCAGTTGCTTTATTAAAAAGTTGTCAATGGTGTAAAACATTGTTAGATTTTGGGAAGCAGTTTAGTATGCACATGCCAAGCTTCTCAGGATAGAAATACTTCTGAGAGCAGCTTCTTTCCCTTCGCAAAGAGATGAAGAATACACTCATGAACCCTGAGCAGAATTGTGACTTCAATGCAATTGATTGTTTTCTAACCCAAATTCCTGCTTCTGGCTTCCTTTTTCATTTGTTCCATTTGTACAACCTCTTGCCCACTTCAGTCATTGCCCAGGGCCCTTAAATTTAAATATCCCTCTCCCTGAACATATAGGTAGTATGAAATGGAAAAGAATCCGAGAATCTGATTGCACGTTTTCATTCCTAGCAAGGCCACCGTGTACACACGTACAGGCCAGTCACATTTTAGGACACATGTTTCAGGGTTCTATGGGGATATGATGCTGACCATTCTTTTGTTTCTCACAGAGTTCCAGGACCGCACGCTCCGAGGAGGACCGGGACGGCCTATGGGATGCCTGGGGCCCATGGAGTGAGTGCTCACGCACCTGCGGGGGAGGGGCCTCCTACTCTCTGAGACGCTGCCTGAGCAGCAAGTAAGTCCTGCACCTGTTGGGGGTCTTTGTGAGAACCAGAGGTAGCAGGTTTGAGGCATACTTTCGTGATTGGGTTTAATGGGGAATATTTTGTTGCTTACAGATCCAGATAAAAGAAAATAATTAAAGGAACGTACAAATAATTAAATTTGTGTTCTTACGTGTTTTTACTTGTGTACTTATGTCCATCTCCAGCCAGGTCTTTATATACTCTTATCAGATGATAAGCAATAGAGAACTTATCATCTTTACCAAGCACATGTTACCTGTTTTCATGTTAGGACTGGAAGGAGAATTTATTGTTAGGAATGGTTCTGGAATTATTAGCTCTATAATATATTGTACAATATTGGTGTTAGTAGCATATTGGGTTTATGCTGGATTTTTAGTATTACCAAGTACTTTACAAGTGAATAACATATTGGTTTATCTTTGTAGATGTCCTAATAGCCAGAATTTTCTTAAAGTCATTCAGTTCAATGAATGATGAATTTTGGATATAAAGAAGTTTGGAAAAATAGAAGCTTCAGTGGGAATTGGGTCAGGAATAGTGAGAGGGGTGAAGAAGGTAGACATGGGGGTGGCTAATGACATTTAAGCTAAAAGGAAAGGGCCTGAGGCCTCAGAATGGAAATTTTTACTTAGAGTAATAATAATTTAAAACTCCTTCTTGAGCTGTGTCATCTGTGACTAGATCTGTCTCCAAACTGTAAAATATAAAGTACTATGGTAATATTTTTAATGAAAGATTTTATTTGACTCTGAAAAGTGTTATGTATAGCAAGTAGGAGATTTGATCAAAATTACTGTATATACTATATTATAAAACAGGAAACAGAAAAAGAATTCTAGACATTTCATAAACAAATAGCAGAAAGTGGTGAGACAGAGGTTCAGAAAAATGTCAACTTACTTTAATAAGAGTGAGAATTTCTTGAAATAAGCATCTGAGCCTTATTCCTTTCTGTCTCTCCAAGGCCTGCACAGGGTCTAACAGATATTAGAAGCCCAATAGATGGTTCTTCATTGAATCACAAAAGACCATTTTGGCTCCAGGCAGGTCTCACTGGAAATTTTATAACCTGAGATATATCCAACAAAACACTAGATCAATTCTGATATTTGGCCACTGTGGCATTGCGGTGTGCACTAAAAATGGGTCAATGTGATTATATCTACCAGTAAGTTTGTTTGTCTCATTTTTGAGGCCAGCTTCGAATCAGCGAGAACCTTAAGCTGATAAGAAAGACTAGACTTTTGCTCCTTATGATTCACCTGCTCTCTTAATCTCGAATATACAAAACTTCCTAAATCTGCAATATATGCTGCTACAGGGTGATAATGTAACTGATAATATTCATACATCAGTAAAGCCAAAAAGTATAAATTTAGAATGTTCCTGTTACCTAGTTTCCTCAAATTAGCATCCTTGAATATTTTTTAGAGATGAGCCAAAACATGTGTCTCACAAAACTAATAAGAAACAAAGGGGAATTTTCATACTGTCTCAGTGATATGTATGTTAGATTGCGGTAGGATCTTTTACTGAGTGAGAGACTGAGAAGCAATTTAGGGAGTACATTAAAATCACTAAATTCTGTCATTCAGCAACTAATCAAATATTGATGCCTTGTGGAATTAAAAATAAAAACAATTTTGCCACCTAGTAAGTTAAAGCTCTAGGTGTTAGGGCTCTATTATGAAACTACAAAAGATATCAGTTGTCTTCTACTTCTAAAGCATTAGAAAAGTAGGATATAAATGCCAAAATTATAAACATATAGAAGATATGTCCCTATTTTACTTTCAAGTATTAAAAACATATATTCGGTAATCTCATACAAGGCTGAACAAGAAGTTTAAAAAATGGGGCAGAGGTACACTACCCATTCTTTAGGAAACTGAAGAAGAAAAAATGTCTCCAAATAGAAGGCATTTCCAAATCTAACAAGAATATAAAGAAATATTAGTTTCTTAAAAACCAGTGCTTAGTATGGACTGATACATTATACACATGGATATGTTCTATACTGTTAAATTCTAGTAATTCTTTAGCAAATCAAAAACTTATCATCATCATTAAACTCTGGAACAATCTGGACAGAAATGTAATATATATTTTTAATTGTGAAATAACTATTTATATATGCCTGGTCATATATTTTGACATCTTTCTTCAATAGGATTTGTATTGTTAGGCTAAACTGTATTAATTCTGATCCTTATGAGACAAACAACATAGAGGCTGATTTAGCTGTTCAGTCTGAGATTCTAGTGGGCTTTCTGGAGACAAGCAGCTCATGACATGACCACATGATCATATTACCTCTGTGCCCTAATGAGTTAAATCTTACAGCTACAGATTTTAAAAGGAGCAAAACTAAGACTGAGTTACTGTCTTTGGGGGTGTGTTGATTGTAGAAAATCTGCATCTCCAAGGACAATTTAAACATCTACAGTGACTAAGTAAATACTTTTATAATAATACCAAAAAAGTATGTAACCCGTTGAATGTTCATAGATGTTATAATGCTGACTTTTAACCTATTAGGTTGGTGTAAAAGTAATTGCAGTTTTTGCTATTACCTTCAATTCACTAACCCAATACTTTAGCTTTTATGGCAAGTATACACTTATTTTCTAGAAGGCACAGCAGAATATGCTATTATTGAACCACTTAGATAGTTCCTGCTTTGATTCAAGACCTTTGTGTATGTTGCATTTTTCAAAACAAGGCATGCGTATACACATGCAAACCCCCTACCCCACGCATGCATTTGTGTGTGTGCTGAGCTGTGATAGAAAATATGTATCATTTCAAAAGAGTCTGAAAGCTTCTGTTGCAGAGAACTTAACCTGGCAGGGGCCCTTTGTGGATGCTAGTCAGACCCACTTACCCAGGGGAGACCTTATCCTAAGTGTCACTGGTCCTCAATCAAAATTCAGTTTGGCCAGGCACAGTGGCTCACGCCTGTAATCCCAGTACTTTGGAAGGCCAAGGTGGGTGGATCACCTGGGGTCAAGAGTTCAAGACAAACCAGGGCAATATGGAGAAACCCCGTCTCTACTAAAAATACAAAAAATAGCTGGGCGTGGTGGCGGGTGCTTGTAATTCCAGCTACTGGGGAGGCTGAGGCAGGAGAATCACTTGAACCCCAGAGGCGGAGGTTGCAGTGAGCCAAGATCGCATCACTGTACTCCAGCCTTGGTGTCAAGAGTGAAACTCCATCTCAAAAAAAGAAAAGAAAAAAGAAAAAAATCCGTTTTCTTTACCGTGGGATTATGATGTTTGGAATCAGAGATTCTCAAATGTTTGTGTGTCCCTGGCTTTCTCTTTCTGCCGTTCTGTATCACTTCACAAGTTTTATTAATAGGATTTTAGCCCTGTGTTTTCTCCTTTTTTATGTGTAATGAAAGTGTGGAGCAAGTCCCCTTTGGTATCTAAAGGGAATCAGACAGTTTGGATGATTTCATTTTAGATGATTTATATTCTCCTCCCTATATAGTTTGAATGCATCTGCTCAGGATCTTGGATGGAAGCGTAGTTGTCTTCATTATCTTTTAACTTGTCAAGCACCTAAGAAGCTGTTTGTTTTCTTGATAATTTTTATTTGCAATCAAGATCTTTCACTATTAACAGAAATTCCTGGGTTACAGCCTCATGTTTCAAAAAGCTAGGTTTCAGCTATCAAAGTTCATGGAGATACCTAGCATTGATTAAACTTTTCAGTTACAGTCATGTATAAAAATTTTAATTTTCATTAAAATAGATAACTTTAAGCAGTAAGAAATATTAAGTATACTTATAAAAACAAAATATAATATTAATGAAATACATTCTAACATTTTTCTCATTCATGCTTAACGGTAATTAAGTCATTGCTTAAGTATGGCCCTAAATCAGTCCTTAGGCTGAGTTTAGAATGTATTTTGACTCTTATAATTTAGAAATAAATATGTTCTGAGATACGTGCTCAGCCTCAAGACTTCAAATCAGTTTGATTTTTAAAGTTTTCAAGTTTTTTCCGTCAACAACTGATTCTATCTATTCTAGTACCAGCAAGAATTTATTAGTATACTCTCCTTAGTTCTTTACTCTAATGGAAACTCTAACTGGTGTAGCAATTATTCAGTGCCACAGTAATGCTACATAACAACCACTAATCCTCACTAGAATATCAGATATGGAATTATTGCTTGGCTAGGTGACTCTGATGGACTTGGATGGTCTTCATCACATATCTAGGGTTGGCTGGATGTTGGCTGATCTAGACTGGCTTCATCTGAGCCAACATGGGAAACCCAATTCTGCTCCACAAGTTCCTTATCCTCCGGCAGGCTAGCCTAGGCAAGTTCTCATAGTGACAGCAGAGGTGTAAGAGAGAGCAATTCCCAGTACAAAGCCTGTTTCCAGCTTTTGTACCATATTTGCTAGTATCTAGTATTTGCTAGTATTAGTGGCAAACTAAGCCACCCAGCAAGTCCAGAGTCAGAATGGGAGAGCCAAAATGTTACATGTGAAAGCATGAGTTAGAGAGAGAGTGAAAAATTGGGACTATTCTTCAATCTACCATGAACAGTCTTCTATGGCTTTCTTACTCATTTTTAATGAGATAATGAACTTAATGGGTTCTGTCTCATTTCTCGACTCCAAATTTATGCATCTAAATTCAGTTCAGTCATCTTATATACCTTCCCAATAGGGAAAGATCAGAGGTTGTGAATGTATATATCCTTAGAGGCCTAGTAGGTAACTGGAATGTATGTAGTAGCATTCATATTGAATCCAAATAAATCCCATCTACCAGGTAAATTAACCTGCCAGGCCAATTTTCCAACTCTGGTAATATGACCTCTTAGATCACTCTCAGGTCTGATTATTTTTTCAAGTCTATCAGCTAATGATTATTCTATTCCCAATATGACAGAACTGTAAAGGAAGCTAGATTACTCAGATTTTATGGAGTAAATGACAACTACTCAATTTCTGGAGTTAATTT